CTGTCCTGTGGTTCCGGGAGGAGGGAGGCTGGGCAAGCTCAAATGGCGCAGTTGGCAGGAGCCCAGGGGCTGGTCTCTTGGCCGGAGGGGAGAAGCATCTTCCAGAGGTCGGCATTTGGCTGAGCAGCAGCTCGAGAGAGGAAAGTCGGGCTGCGTGGAGAACGTTTAAGGGGGGGGGGGGGGGGGGGGGAGCTCACAAAGCAAGAAGCAGAACAGTTGTGAGGATCTGGGGAAGAAGAGCTTGTGGAAGCAGAAGGCTGCTTAAGAGCGCCCACTGGCGGCTTGGGCACGGGAGGGGGACCCAACTTGGTCGGGGCTTGGGAACGGGAGGGGGACCCAACTTGCTCTGCGGTGGCAGAGAAAGGCAACCCTGGCTACGTTGCCCAAGGCGGGGCAGTTTGGCACCCTGGCCCCGAGGCAATGATGGGGCCGTGCGTGTGGAATTCAGCCTGCTGCCACAGATTGCGGGCCTTCCTTTCTTCTCCACTTAAATTCTCTCTGGGCCGTCTCGGTGGGAAATGTGGTCTCATGTTCACGGTCTGAATGCTGGCGACACCTGGGCTTTGGGCCCGACTAGAGGCTATCATCATTGGAGCAGCCACCATTGATCCTGTCTGCCGTGTCTGGTTTTGCTTTCAGTTTCGTACATCATGTCGGAGAACTCCAGTGACAGCGATTCTTCCTGTGGCTGGACAGTCATCAATCATGAGGTAGAGCCCTTTCTTCCCTCCGCTGCTGCTCTTCTTCCTGCAGCTTCTTTGTGAACTTCCTGGACCTCCTCGCTGTCCTGGCTGGCTGAAAAGGCCCCAGGCGGCACGGGAGCAGGTAACGGAAGGGGAGGGTGCACGGCCCTGAGGAAGCCGCTCCTCTGCTCTTTGGCGGGGCCTGGAGGCAGGGGGTGGTGTGTCGGCCTGGAAGGAGGACGGAGCAGCCTGTTGTGCATGAGGGTGATCCGGGCCTGCCTGGACCTTTTTAGTCGCCTGATGCTCTGAGGGCTGGCCCCCCCCTGAGGGTGGTAACCGTCTCTGTTTACATTGGTGCGCACGGCCATCTCTTCTGGCAGTAGGCGGCTCCCACTTCCAAATATAAAAATGTACACAGTACAATACAGCCCCCTCCTCTTCCCTAGTCAAGCACCTGTTAACAGCTCTTGCCCACAAAGCAGAAAAAGAGAAGAGATTGGATTTATACCCCATGGCCCTTCACTACCCGAAGGAGTCTCAGAGGGGCTTACAGACTCCTTTCCCTTCCCCTCCCCACAACAGACAGACACCTTGTGAGGTGGGCGGGGCTGAGAGAGCTCTGACAGAGACTGCTCTTTTTCAAGGACAGCTGTGCCAGAGCTACGGCTTGCCCAAGGTCATCCAGCCAGGTGCGAGTGGAGGGGGAATCAAACCCGGTTCTCCCACTGCACCAAACTGGCTTGCAGTGCCTCCTTAACACTCGTAAGGATGCCCCCGTGACACAGGACTGTAGAGAAGAGCTGGGCCGCAAGAACAGCCAGCAGGTGGCATCCATCCCAGAGGCGGCTGCTGGGGCTGCGGAGGCTTCCAGCCCCCAGTCCTCCACTCCTCCTGTGGGCTGGATTGAGCCAGGTGCTGGCCTGGTGTCCAGAGGAGATGCCCTCCTTTTCCTGGCCTGTCCCCCACAGGGCTCCCTTGAGCTGGCCTGCTCTGAAGCAGGGCTCAGTTTCCCGCGAAGGCCACCCACAGCGCCCCCCCTTCCCCCCCTCCCGCACGGAGAGGCTGGCCCTGTTCTTCCTGGGCCTTCTTTTGGAAGCAGGAGGCAGCAGCTGGGAGCTGGGCCAGGAGGCCTCTGCGCCAGCCTTCCCAGGTGTCCGGGCGTGGGGCCTGGGAGTAGCAGCTTTTCATGGGACTGGGGGCACGTGGGTGGGTGGGCGAGGCTGGCCCAGACTGGTAGCAGTTATGCAGCTGCCCACAGGAGTGCCGACACTCTCACGTCTGGACTCTGGCATTTCCCCTTTTCTGCAGGGGAAGAAGAGCAGTGGAGCCTTTCCGGCTCGTTTCCCAGAAATTCAAAGGCCATCTCCGGGGTGTGTGTGTGTGTGTCCTGTTTTGGTGGGCCGGAAGGTGGCGTGGCCCAGGCCCGACCACTCAGCTGAAGTGAGGGCCTCACTTTGCACTCTTTACTCCCGAGAGCATTTATTTTTAGAGCAGAAAAGAGGAAAGGTGATTTGCCACCAGAGGAGTAACACCCCCTGCATCTGGTGTTCAGGCGTAAGTCAGTGTTCTGGACAGGAAGTCACCCCCGACTGGTAACAGATGTGAATATCTAACAGGCAGTCTCTTCCGAGAGCAAGTGAGCCAGTGCTCTCCCACCATACCTGATGCAGGAGCTGTGGCTTAGTGTGAGGAGCGTAGACTCTCGCTCGCCCTTGACTGGCCTGTGGTCTGATTCAGGGGAAGGCAGCTTCAGGTGTGTTCCGCGCTATTCCGTGACCCCAGCACCAGGTGATTGGCAGGGGGCAAGACCAGGGCAGGGACCGGTGCAAAGATGCAGCACAGGATGGGGCACTGTGAGCTTGTGGTGGGCCTTGTTGGTTGCCAGATGCCGGCCGTTCTTTGCCACGCACGGGCTGGGAGTGGCTGAGCTAGAGGCCGCAGGCTCCCCACAGGATTCAAGGCGGTGCTGCCCCTTTCCCCCCAGGGCTCTGATGTGGAGGCCTTGGCCTCTGAAAATGAAGGGCCGAGTGAGCCCGTGGAGCTGGGATCAGAAGAATCGGTGACCCTTGTGCCGGAAGACCAGCCAGAGGAGCCAGTGGGCTTGCAAGGTAAGATCTGGAGAGGGTGGGAGCAGCCCCCCCCCTTCAGAGGGCTTAAGGGGAGAGTTTCCCTGAACCTGAGTGAGGCACCGGGAAGAGCCGCAGACCCCGGAGCCCGCTGCACATCACGGGGCAGAAAGCGCCCCCCAGGTGGTTCAGCCGATAGGAGGCGCTGGGCATGTTGGTGCCCTCCATCACCTTTGAAGGCCTGGACTGCGGTGTGTGTGTGGGTGGGTGGGTGGTATGGAACCCTGCGGGAAGCACCCGGCTACCAGTTTGGGAGGCAGAGGACTTCACTGGGCGCAGGACTAGAATCAGAAGCTTTCTGGAGAAAGGCAACTCTGCGTAGCTGTCGCTCGTGCACTCAGTGCCCAAGAGTTCCTCTCCACAGAAGGCAAGAGGAGATGGTCATCTAGAGAGCACTCACAGTGAAGAGATCTCGCTAGCAGCCCTTCGGAGCGTCTCTCATAGGGGCATGCCATCCTTGGACTTTGACCATTTTGCAGAGGGGCCGGGTTTCTTTATTCCACGGCCTCTGTGTTATGAAATATGAATGGCATGACGAGGCCGGTGCCTTCAGAGGGGAGCCCTGCTGGTCTGCAGGAGAACGCCTGGGTCCAAGTCCGGGAGCACCTTGGGGGGACCCAAGAAGGTTTGGGGGGTATCAGCTGTCCAGAGTCAGAGCTTGTTTCCCAGGGAGCCTGGATTCCCGAAAGCTTATTATCCCACCCCACCCCCCAACTCAAATCCAGCTGCGTAACTGAGCCAGACTCACCTTGAGGTTAGTTTGAGGAAGTTGCTTGCTCTGAAACTGGCAGCCTGTTGCTGGGTGGAGATAGTATCTCAGAATGAAACTGGAAACTTTTAAAGGCCCGAGTGCCGTCATGGAAAAAAAAATCTCCCCAGAGTTTCGCAGGTCAGTTTCTGTGACGCTGCAGAGCTAATGGAAATACTGGCGAGAACAGCTATCGCCATTCCTCTGCTTTAGGTGCGTGTTGGCCGGGCCCTCGATCGTCTGGTTAAATATTGTCGCCTAATCGGTCTAGAGATGGGGGGAGTCAGAGATGGTGCGATCCTGCTCTCTGCTGCCCCCGGTGGCACTCCGTAGGCGGCTGCTTCTCCCTTGTGCCTCCTGGGGCAGGAATGGGGGCCCTTTGCCAGGCAGCATAGTCCGCTGCTCTGCCCGGCTAGAATTTGCCGCCTCTGGAAGTGGCCCTTTCATTAATTTTTAAAAAATGGCTGTTTGTTTGTTTCTGCTTCATTTTAAAACACTTTCAGCCTGTAGGTTGGCCTTGGTTTTTCCAAGATAAAAACCAAAGAGACACATTTCAGTGAACTGGTCAAATCTAAAGGAATATTCCCTAACTTTACTAAATCTTCCAGTGCTTGCATTATTGAATCTGAGTTCTTCTGTCACCATCACAGCTCACCTCTTTGTTTTTATAATTGGCGTGAATGTCTGTTGATGACTGAAGCACATGGCTTTGCTCTGTTAATGGTTTAAAACTACCTGCCCCACCAGGCAGGTCAGTTGACTCAGTTTTGTCTTTATTGCTGAAAAAATGTTCGAAATTGTACACTTTTTGGCACAGTGGATGTGTGGGTTTCTGTTTATGACACACACACACACAAAGTACGTGACATGGGTAAAATTGCATTAGTTTTTTACTCTGTCCACATTCAATCTTTGTCCCCATAGGTGAATTTGGCCAAAATGATGCTTCATCAGTGGTCGATCAAAGTGGGCCCCCCTCAGAGACCCCCCAGCCAGCTGCAGAGGTGAGTCACGCAGAGCTCTGCCCCCTCCCCCCAAGAGCCTGCCTGTCCAGGTTTTCGTTAGAAGACAAAAGTGAGATGTGGCTTTTTCTGAGCCGCGCCGTCGCCCAGTGCCCTCTTCCATGTCATGGCAGTCCTTTCTCATTGCTGCTTAGGGCGAGAGAGAGCAATTGCCCGAGGAAGGTGCTTGCGTGGGGGCGGTCAGTGACGATTCCGATATTGTTACCCTCGAGACGCCTAAGATTGAAGAAATCGGAAGCCCAGAGGAAGTATCCCTGGGGGAGGAGGAGGAGGAGGAAGCCCCCGTCTCAGAAGATTTTAACATGGGCACTTCTTCCAGCAGCCAGTACGCCTTTTGCCGGCCAGAAGCAGGTATGGGGAGTCCTTGCGCCTCTCTGGAAGTCCGGGTTGGTCAGCTGAGGTGATGCAGCAGTTCATGCCCTTTTGTTCCGCGGAGACCGGAGGGGGCAGCTTCGTGGCAAGGACCTCTGCGGCCTCCCCTTCATGTGCACAGCTCGGGTTGGGGCTTTGCCTGAAGGGTGGTGGTGACTGGCAGGCAAACGCATACCAGAATGAATTCCTGCGGCGTACGAGGGGGAGAGCAGAGGGTCCAGATGAGGAAGGCGAGCTCTCTTTCACGGCGGTGGAAGGAGAAACGGAGCTCTATCGCGGCTCAGTTGGCCTTCTCTGCCTGTGGGAAGGAACCTGGGGGCACCTGGAGGGGGTGCCTGTCACCAGGAGTCACGTTCTGGTGTCTGGTCTTGTATGCTGATCAGGAGCCGTCGCCGTGGGCTGACGTCGTGTGCCCCGGTCCGCGCGGACCGGACCTCTCTCTGCTGACGGAGTCCCAGGTTCCTTTCTGGTCTGTGAGCTCCGTGAAGAGCCTTTCTTTCCTGATCACACGGTTCAAAAGGCATCATTCCCTACATCTCTCCTTTGCTAAAATGCACGGACTTTGTTTCCAGTCCCAGCAGTGGCTGGTCTCCCCCAGCCTTCGTTGGGAGTTTGCTGCTCGTGTTGTGCTTGGTCAGGTCCTCCTCCTTGCCCGTGCAGAGCCCTGTGGGGACCTCCCTAGCGGGGGCGGCAGCAGCAGCCCAACCTGAAGCGGGGGGGGGATGCGTGTTCCCTCCCCCTCCCTCGGTATTTCCGACTTCTCTGTTTAAATGAACAGGAAGTTCTGGTAAGGAGAAGAGCCCCCCCCCCCGAAATCCTCAACGGTTGGGGCCGGGGGGGGGCGGGCTGTGTCCAGCGCCTCCCACTTCCCCTGGTCTTCCAGATGCTTTCGTGTGTGCAGCGGCACTTCCCACCTGATCAGGCCTTGAAGTCTCTCCTTTCTGTTCCGCAAGCCCAAGCCACGTGGTTGCAGAAGCTGATGAGGAAGATTCCTGCGTCTGTGAGAGGCTGGGGGGAGCCGCGGCGAGGGCAGAGGGCGGCCGGCCCCTCCCCCTTCCAAGGTGGTGTGTGTGCAGGCGTGAGGGGCTTGTGGCTGGCAGGCTGGCTGGCAGTGTGGCTTGTGGCTGCAGGGAGGCCGCGGGAGCTGGTGGTGGGGTGTGTCAGGCTCAATAGAGTCCACAACGACTCCACTTTCATGGTCATTGTCAGGAATGAAACTCAAAGCCAAACGTGTACAGATATAGACAGTTCAAACAAAAAGGGTTAGCTACAGTTCGCGCTCAGCAAGAATACGAGCAGGAGAAAACCAAGGTGGGAGAGAGCCTTTCAGCCATTTGGTTCACACCAGCCAGATTGGGAACGGCCCCATCAACGGTTCTCACAGTCTCACAAAGGCAGCACAAGCATTCCAGGGTCAAAACGAGATAAAGTGCCCAGGGAGCAAGGCGGGGGGGGGGGGGGGGAGCCGCAAGCTCACAAACTGGGCAGAACCCCAAAGGGAAAAGTGTGTCTCCTGAGTGCACTGCAGTAGGGGCAGGTGGCTCTGTCCTGCCCATCGTGAGCAAAGGTTCGAAGTCGTCCAACTCTCCTCCATGCACCAAGCCCCGAAGGTTCCTCCGCCTCCCCCCCCCCATGTGAGGCTGGTTGGCAGCAATAGGGCTGTTTTGTTTATTTTAACTAAGAAGAAGGGATTGGATTTCTGCCCCGGCCTCCACTACCCAAAGGAGTCTCAGAGGGGCTTACAAACTCCCTTCCCTCCCCCTCCCCACCACAGACACCCTCTGTGAGGTCGGTGGGGCTGAGAGAGCTCTGACAGAAACTGCTCTTTTTCAAGGACAGCTCTGATCAGAACTACGGCCTGCCCAAGGCCATCCAGCCAGGTGCAAGTGGAGGAGGAGCGGGGAATCAAGCCCGGTTCTCCCAGATTAGAGTCCGCGCTCCTAACCACGACACCAAACTGGCTCTCCCTCCTGAGCTATTTGGATTCGCCAAGGGCTCACAGTCAGGTGGCCAGCGCACAGAAGGCACGCAGCGGGAAATGAGCCAGGGGGCATTCAATGCAAACAGGACCACTGGCTCTCCCCAACCTGTTGACACCCCCCCCACACACACACACACACACTCCCGGTGCCCTGGGGCAGAGAAGTGCCCGATGCCCCTTCCCGCAGGCGGGCCGTGGAGGCTCCCTCTGCACCCAAAGGACGGGCAGGCCGGACTGCTGCAGGCAGTCTGAAGAGGGTGGCTGGGGCCAAAAGGGCTTGGAAACTGACACACACCCCCCCCCAAGCGCCTGGAAGCGAGGAAGGGGCCACAACCCTTGGCCCGTCTGTTCCCAAACGGGAGCTTCCCGTGAGTGTGCACCTGGCACCCTGCGAAGGGCCCGGGAGGGGGGGGTCAGCGGAGGAGGAGCCCCTCAGGGCAGGCCAGGGCAGGCCACGGGTGGCCTCTCTTTCCCCCCTCTAGGGAGGAAGGACTAGGTTTCACTCAGAGCAGCCAAGTGGGTGGTTCAGGGCACGGGGTGTGGGGGGTGGAGTGTGTTCAGTTTGGTGTTGAGAGCCAGTTTGGTGTAGTGGTTAAGTGTTCGGACTCTAATCTGGGAGAACCGGGTTTGATTCCCCACTCCTCCTCCACTTGCACCTGCTGATGTGACCTTGGGTCAGTGACAAGCTCTGGCACAGCTGTCCTTGAAAAAGAGCAGTTTGTGTCAGAGTTCTCTCAGCCCCACCCACCTCACAGGGTGTCTGTTGTGGGGAGGGGAAGGGAAAGGAGTTTGTAAGCCGCTCTGAGACTCCAAGTGAAGGGCGGGGTATAAATCCAATCTCTTCTTCTGTGTTTGTGTGTGTGTGTGTGGGGGGCTTCTGGGCTGCGGCCGGCCGCCTCCCGTGCCGCTGCTTGGGGAGAGGCTTCCTTGAGAGCTGAGCAGGGTGGTTGGCATGAAGGCGGCAGGGGAGTTGGGGAGGTCACCGTGGAGGAGTGGCCCGGAAGGGGAGGGGGGGAGCCCCTTGGTGGCCTCATGCTGGAGCGGGCACGGAAAGTGAATGAATGAATTGAATTTATTACAGCGCATAGCCAGCAATATAAAACCATACCTACAAATATTTATCATATAAATAGATTACAATGTCTAAAATATCCAGATGGTGAAACTATTTATGTAAAATTATACAAGCATTTTAAACTCTAAAACCAGAAATACGGTGTAAAAAAGGACAGAATTCTAGTCTTAAAAAAATAAAATAATGAGAATAAAAAGATCAATTAGATTAAAAACGAACAGTCCTAACCGAAGTGGCTGCCTGAACACTGATGAGCTTTTACAACCAAAAGACAAAATTTCGCTATCTGGTGTAGCGCTATATGATCAGAATTTGAAAGCAATTTCTCTATCTTATCCTGAGGCACGGAAAGTGTCTGCGGGCCGTGATGCCAGCCCCACCGGAGAGAGAGGGAGGGGGAGAGAGCCGTGTGGCTCTTCCCTGGCTCCCCTCCCCACGCCGGTGGTCAAGGCAGGAGTATTTCTCTTGAGTTGAAGTCACCCGCTGTTCCCCTTTCTGTCCCATCCGTAGTCGAGTGCGCAGTCTGCCTAGGGCGATTGAGGGGCTGGCGCTGGGTCGCCTGAGCTTTCCCAAGGCCACGTCCCAACCGTGGCTTGTGCTCCGTCTGCCTGTCCGTCCGTCCGTCTGTGTGAAGGCAGGAGAGCCGGGGACCCCGCCAGGCTTGGGAAGGGTTGGGCTCTGGTCTTCCGGCCGCCTCGCCAGCATTCTCAGCGACCCGCCCCCCTCCCCAGTGCTTCCCCCTCCTGCCGGGGTGGGCTTGGTGGCCGGGGGGGAGCCCACTGCCTGCGACTTGATGGTGTCCCTTAAGAGTCGAGCAGCGACGAGACGAGCCACGGCTCTGGCCCCACCCTGCGGCGCCGGCGGGCCAAGAAGAGGCCAGTCTCCAGCTCCGAGTCGGAAGAGGCCCCGCCTGGCGAACAGGAGCCCGAGCCCGTGCCAGAGCCCGCGGGCAAGCACCAGTTCAGCAGCGGCCTCAATCGGTGCATCATCCTCGCTCTGGTCGTCGCGGTCAGCATGGGCTTCGGCCACTTTTATGGTGAGTGCTCCCGCCGGGCTGCTGGGGACTCTGGGGGCTGGCTGGCTGGCTGGCTGCCCGTCCCGGGGCCAGGCTCTGCGGGGCTGGTGGGGTCCCTTGGGAGGAGGCGCCTGCGTCCAGCGCTCGGGACACACTGGGAGAAGCCCGGCTCCGGCCTCCAGTCCCAGGGCTTGAGTTTGGCCACTCCGTTCTTTGGGGCTAGGACAGGGCTCCTGGGGAGGAAGTGGGCCTCGGGGGCTGGGAGGATCCGGGCTGAGATATCCCTGCTTGGCTCTGGAGTCCCCGTTTCTGCCCCCAGCCCGCCTGGCTGGGTAGCTGCCTGACCTCCAGGGAAGGAGAAGCCGCCCGTAGCGGGTGGGGAGTTGTGGGCCTTCGCGGCGGGTGGCTGAGCTGGCAGCTTAGGTCTGCCGTCCACAGCCTCCTGGCTGGAACGCGCTCTGGGCTTGGTTTGGCCACCTCCCCCGGCCCTGTCTTCCTTAGGCAGGGCCCTCAGGGCAGCCTGGGTCTCCCCAGTTAGATATGGCCCCAGGATAGAAGCCCAGGGTAGGATTGGTTCAGGGATGGACATCCGCTCCTGGCAGCCACCAATCCCCCCCCCCCCCCCCAAGCCATGGAGGGAGGGCAGCTTCTTGGGCCCGGGCTCCCAGGCGAGATTTTGGGGGTGGGGCCACGCAGACCCCCTTTGGTGGCTGGAAGAGCAGCCGGCCCCCGCCTGCCCGTCTCTGCTGATGGGCTACGGCCTGGTGGCCTGAGCAGACCGTGGGGGCGGGGTGCTCTGTCCGTGTCGGCACCGCTTGTCCCCGGGTGTAGAGAAGCGTTTGGAGTCGACCGCCGTCTCCTGGCTGGGAGCTGCAAAGCCTCTTACCCGTGTCCCTTGTTCTGTCTTTAGGGCTTCTGGATGGTAAGAGGTCCTGCGTGTTGCTGTGCCTGGCAGTCCCAGCTTCCCAGCAGGAAGGAGGGTCTCTGTCTCCCGGGCCCGTGGTGGGGGATGGGGCAGCCCACCCCTGGCGTTGGGGGCTGGCTGTCTCGCAGTGCTGATGTGCCCTGGTGCACTGGGGCGGGGG